TCGCGCAGCGCCAGCGCCTGCAGCTCCTCCTGCAGCCGCACCACGTTGTCCTCGTCCGGCAGCAGGCTGTTCCTCTGCAGGGGGGACAAAAGGGGACATCGGTGGGGACACCCCGAGGAGGGCGCACCCCAGGGCGTCGGATATCGGAGGGGACACCCTGGGGCAGGGACATCCCAGGGTGGTAGCACCAGGATGTCAGCAGGGACATATTATGGCAGTGGCACTGGATGTCACTGGGGACACCTCGGGGTGGTGGCATTGGTCATGGGCAGGGACACCCCGGGGGGCCACCTTGGGGCGGTGGCATTGGTCATGGGCAGGGACACCCCAGGGGGACACCTTGGGGCGGTGGCATTGGTCATGGGCAGGGACACCCCAGGGGGACACCTTGGGGCGGTGGCACTGGTCGTGGGCATGGACACCACAGGGTGACACCTTGGGGCAGTGGCACTGGTCGTGGGCATGGACACCACAGGGTGACACCTTGGGGCGGTGGCACTGGTCGTGGGCATGGACACCACAGGGTGACACCTCGGGGCGGTGGCACTGGTCGTGGGCATGGACACCACAGGGTGACACCTTGGGGCAGTGGCACTGGTCGTGGGCATGGACACCACAGGGTGACACCTTGGGGCGGTGGCACTGGTCATGGGCATGGACACCACAGGGTGACACCTCGGGGCGGTGGCACTGGTCGTGGGCATGGACACCACAGGGTGACACCTTGGGGCAGTGGCACTGGTCGTGGGCATGGACACCACAGGGTGACACCTTGGGGCGGTGGCACTGGTCATGGGCATGGACACCACAGGGTGACACCTCGGGGCGGTGGCACTGGTCGTGGGCATGGACACCCCAGGGGGACACCTTGGGGCGGTGGCACTGGTCGTGGGCATGGACACCACAGGGTGACACCTTGGGGCGGTGGCACTGGTCGTGGGCAGGGACACCCCAGGGTGGTGGCACTCAGCGCTCATCCTCCTCTGCCAGATGGAGTTGGGGACACACATAGGGCATTGGGGGCAAGATGACAGGGGACACAAGGGACAGGGGAATCCCCCGGGGACACGTGGCACTGGGGATCCCTGGGCACAGGGGACACCACCCCGAGCCCCTTGAGTGACACTCCCCATCCCCAAGGCCACTCATGTGACACTTTCCACCCCTCGAGCACTGGTGGGACCATCTCCAGGGCCACCCCACGTGACTGTCCCCATCCTGAAGACCACTCGTGTGACACTGTCCATCCCCAGGGCCACTCGTGGGACCATCCCCATCCCCAAGGCCACCAGCGTGACACCCGCGAGCCGTCCCTGTCACCTTCTCCATGTCGAGGACTTTATCCTGCATCTCCTTGAGGGCGCCGAGGGTCTCGCTCTCCCGCAGCCGCGACTGCTCCAGCTCCGTCTCCAGGTGGGTGACAAACTCCTCGCTGAAGCGTGGGTTCCCCTGCCACCGTCCCCAAGGCGTCACCCACAGGGCACAGCCCCTGTCCCCCCCTTACCCATGGCGGTGGCACCCACCACCTGCACCCGAATCCGGGCTGCAGCAGGGCGCAAATTGAAAGGGGGATGTGTGGGGGAGATGGGGATGCCTGGGGACATCTGGGGACATTTGGGGACATCTGGGGACACCAACCTGCTGGTCCTGCAGCTGGCGGATGGTGGGCTGGGGGCGCCGGCGGGTCT